TATATGTAAAGAATTTTATTCAGATTTTTTTTATTTTGTTTTTTATTAATCAGATAAATGACAATATATTATTATTAATTTAATAAACGAGTCGAGATTCGAAAGTTGGATTGGAAAATGAAGTATCGTCACGATTAAAAATAAAACGTAAGTTATGTGAAAAAAACGACAAGAAAAAAAGAAATGTAATAAAGTTGGTTGTTAATAGAACGATCATATAAACCATAAACGAGAGAGTTGTCTACTAGGTTCTGTGAAAAAACGACAAAAGTGTAAGTTCGTGGCACTTTATACACCACCCTAAGTGGTTGTCGTCATTCCTGGGAAGTCCTCTCACGAGGTTGTAACACGATACAAAGAAGTCAAGAGCGGTCGAGTGTGTTTAGTGAATTTGTTTTTTTTTTTTTTTTGTTGCTTTCCTTTTTTGTTTCTTTTTTTTCTCTAAACATTTGTTTGTAACATTACAACGATATAATCATATGAATATTTAATACGAATCAAATAATAATAATAATAATAATAAATTTAAATGAATTGAACAAAATTTCGTAGAAATATGTTAGATGTTTGATTCACATGAATAAAAGTAATTAATATTTATTAAATATTCAGACTTATATTAATGTCTATTATCATTTATTGAATTGATTGATTAAGAGAGATATTAGGTTCGTTTAATAAATATCTAATAATTGAAATCTTTATTTAAGTTAATAAAATATTATATATTTCGATATTAAATAATCTAATTTTAAAATAAAAACAATATCTAATAAATATGTTTAAATATAAAATATAAAAGAAAAAAAAGATCTTTTTTGATTATAAAAAAAAAAAAACAATATAAATTAAATTAAACAAAATATCTAATAAATATATTTAAATAAAAAATATAAAATAATAAAAGAATCTTTTTTTGATGAAAATAAAAAATATAAATTAAATTATTATAAAGAAATAAAGTTTAATTTAAATTAATAATATTCTAATATAAAAATAATATTTTTCAAATATATATAAAAATAAAATATAGAATAAAAAAAAACATAAATTTTATTATTATTGAAATACAATTTAAATAAAAATTCTGTAATAACTAATAACCATATCGAATGGAGATTATTTGTTTATTAAAAACAAAAAACCCAAAAAGAACGAAAAAAAAAAACAACCAAAAATAAAAGAATAAAAATAAATATTTATTATTTATAATATCAATTTGGAATTCTCTATCTTTCTCTTACTCTGTTTTTATTTATCATATTTATTATCTCTGTCTTTCACAGTGCTACCTCGTTCATCTCCTTGACTTCGTCGTCGTTGTCGTCGTTGTCGTTGTCGTAGTTGCCCTCGTTTCCTTTTATGCATTATTAATAGTGCACTGTTAACTGAGCTCTTCTCTATCTCTGTCTCACTCACTCTCTTTCTCTTAGTCTCTGTCTGTGTCTCAGTCTCTCTTTCTTTCACTTGCTATTCCTATTTCTATCTTCTATTTTCTCTTCTTTCTCTTACTCTGTGCAGTTATATTCACATAAATCACCGAAGAAACGAGGCAGAGTCCGAACTATCGTCCTAGATCGTAAATCAATGATCATAACGATCGCAAAAATCATTGACCGTCGAATCAACATCCATGAGTTGAAGAAAAAGATGAAGAAAAAGATGAGGAAAGAGAAAGAGAGAAAGTGTTTGATAAAAATTCTTTCGTGAATTTTTTTGTTCTTACAGAAACTCGTTAACCTTTCTTCCAGTTATTTTGTGTAACTCGTAAATCTTGGTTTGTTAATCAACATCCATGAGTTGAAGAAAAAGATGAAGAAAAAGATGAGGAAAGAGAAAGAGAGAAAGTGTTTGATAAAAATTCTTTCGTGAATTTTTTNCTTGTTGAAAGTTCGGAAATAATTATTTATTATTTTATTTATATTTTATATAATTTATATATTATATAATTCTATTTTATTTATATAATTTTTACTATATATTAGTATATTTTATATTAATTTTTATTATATATTATTTTTAATTAATATAATATAATTAATTTTATATTATATTTATAATATGAATCGTTTAAAATAATAATTAAAAAACAAAAAATAAAAACTTAGTTGAAAGTTAAAATTTTTAATTAACAAAAGTACATTTATTAGTGTTCCATATACCCATTAAAAAATTCCAATAATAAATTTGCAAATACTTTTAACAAACATGTTCATATACATATACATATATATATATATGTGTGTGTATATATTTGTTTTTTATCTCAAAAATGAATGTACAATTTATTACATCAGAATTAACATTCATTACACTAAGTAACATTTTTGTTAGTTAAATTTGATTTGATTTCAGAAAGGTTTAACAAATCTTGCAACTCTTTCAATTCTGAAACAGAAAGTATCGATTCGAGTTCGGGTGAGATAGCATCTTTCAAACTCAAAGAAGCTAAATCAACGGAATCTAGGTTTCCTTCATTTTTCAAAAGTTCCTTCAACGTTTTAATATAATTCTTTAAACCAGTTTGAACGTTTAAACAAACATTCGAGTCAGCATTACCTTTAGATCGTAGTTCAGATAATTTATCTAATTTCTTTTCATACGTACGATGTTTCTCAATTCGCGAATCGTTCTTATCCAACACTAAAGTGTCCCTAGATTGAAGAATAACCGATGGTGAAGAAGTATCATCTGTCTTTGTAACAGAGAAACGATCTGATTTATTTCCATGAGAAAATTCAACATTTTCAACATTTTTATTCGATAAATTGCTTAATTCGCCAAATTTCTTCGTTTCTTTATTCAAAATAACATCCTTTCTAACTTTTTCTTGATTATTATTATTATATTTCTTACGACGTGGTATAGATTCATTTTTACATTCAATTTTATTAATATCTTTTCCCATTTGTTCCCCCAAATTATTGGATTTCGTCGTCAAATTTTCATTTACAGTCGTCTCGTAAGATTTAATCGAATAATTGGATTTTTTTTTCCTACTATTCGTGTTAATCTTATTGTTTATTCCTTTATTATTAATATTATTATCTGTTTTGTTAGATGATATTATTTTTCTATTTGATTCTAAATGCCTTCGATCACGTTGATTTTCATTAAATTTCGAGTAGTTTCCGTCAGAGACGTTTTCAAACGTGAATTTCATGGAATCATCGTTTTCAAAGGAACCACCACCGAGTAACTTGGGAAGTAGTCTTGAGGAATTGCTAGAAGGCAAGGTCGAGGTTGCTATTGGTGTTTCCAAAGTGAATGACTCAGATTCGATAAAATCCGAACAAATTTCAACTGGTATCGAACAACCTTTTCCTTTAACAGTATAATCCTTTAAACCTTTGAAACTTTCTTTACGTTTAACCACGTTCAAATTATTAATATTATTATTATCAATATCCTTTGTTTTTCTTTTAGAAGTTAAAGTTAAATTAGCTGATCTTGGCCTTGGGGTGGTTGGCCTTGATCCGAAATTTGACGAACGTTCATTCGAACGTATAATTCTTTTTTTAAATTTATTCGAAATATCAGAACCATTGTTTCCATATTTTCTATTAAACGATACAGAATTATTTCCAGTAATCCATGGTTGAAATTTTCGTGTTTGACCTTTGATAGCTGATGATGGTGAACGTATTGATGAGGAATCACGCGAGTGATTCGAAATAACTTCACGAGTACTACCAAACTCGCTGGAACTTAAGGAACTTAGGTTAATAGAGTCCTTATCGGCTTTGACGATAGACGATAGCAATTTACTCTTACTAGGTGAGTTTGTTGTATCGTTCACGTTAACAGGCTTACAAGTTGAATGGTACTTTCTTGTTTGTACTTGATCGACGTTCGAATTTGTCACTATTTTAGTAGGAATTGTGTTTGAATCAAGAAGACTACTTCTACCAACTACTCTTTCACCTTTTCTATCTTCAACGTTCTTCTTCTTCTTCTTCATCTTCTTCGAGTCCTTTCTCGATTCTATCGATCCTGGCGTTGTTAGTGGTGTAGGTATTGGTGTAGGTGTGGGTGATTCGTTTTCTTCTTTTCTTTCATCCCCATCTTTACTCACACTAGCAGAATTTTCTTTTCTTCTCTTTGATAAACTACTCGACAAATTCTTGACCTTAGACGTTCTTGAAATATTTCCATTCTTATCTAAGACCTTTCGATTAATCGATATCATCTTCTTATCGATATTATCATCCTTAACTACTCCAGAATCTATCGTATTTTTGTCAGAAAGATTCAACGTTTCCGTACCTTTCTCATAAGTTTCCCTTTGTCGTAAACCCTTAACAAGAAAATGATCCAACGGATGTAAAAATTCCATTTCCTTTTTACTCATGCCAATTGTCGCGTCATAATATTCTTCGACAAAATCGAAAAAACTGTGTTCATATTGTTCGTTTAATTTTATACCCAATGTTGAATCGATGGTATTTAAATGTATCGAATTAAATATAACGTCACCTGGTGGTTGATTATTTTTATAATGTTTCTTCAAATTAGCTTCTATTAATTTGTGTCTGTACGCGTTGTAATTAAAAGTCGATATATCGATTATTGGTACTTCAGAATTGGTTACAACGAATGATGATGATCTTTCAACTGGTACTTCATCTTTTTCTAATTTTATTCGTTGATTATCTTCAATATTGTTTAATATTTCGATATCACATGAAGGTATATTATTATTATTATTATTATGATTATGGTAATTTTCGTATTGGCTAGGAGGTCCATCACCAGTACTATTTGAACAAAGATTTGGCGTAGATACCGTTCTACGATTTGAACTGGTAAATCGAAGATCGTAATCCGAGCTTGAACTTGAATTGATTATTGGTATTGGTGCAGGATAATGCATCACCACAGCTCGTCTTCGTATACGTTCGTCCGAATTACGAAAACTACGTACAGTTTCATCATGATGATGATGGTTATCATCATTTTCATATATATTCGATTCAGCAGTATTCGATTTTACTATTCCTAGTCTTCTACGAATTATCTTATTCCATTTCTCGTTATTTCCATTGGTTTTGGTGTTGGTAGTTGTTTGGTTTCTTCTTCTTGATTTATCCTAAATCAATTGGAGAAACAAAAGAATTGGCAAAAGGATATTTGGAATATGGTATGTAAGTTCAAACAATAAGGTTTAATCGATTGAAAAAGAATTATTATAGCTTGAGGACAATATACTTATTGATCGAACTGTACTTATATTTTTCTCTGTAGTTTTGTCCCTTTTATTCTTTTTTACTGTAATAGATTGTCTACATTTATATATACTTTTCTCATTTTATGATAGATTTTTCTCATAGATGTGATTACTTTTGTTATATATTTATATATAATATAAAAGAGAATTGTAATATATATTAAATAATATTTTTCCTATAATATATATTAGAAATTTAAAATATATATATAAAAAAAAAATATGTATATGTATATATGTAAAAAAAAATATATATATATAAAAGAGAATTATAATATAAATTTATATATAAATATTTATAATAATTATAAATTAAAATTAAAATAATAAATATACAATAATAATAAATTATTATTATACAATATATAAATATAAATATAAAATAAATATTATAAAAATTAATATAATAATATAAATTATTTATATTAATTAAATTATATATATACATATATAATAGAAAATTATAATATAAGAATTAAATAATATTTTTTTTATAATATAATAAAAAATAACAATTAATACATGAAAAAAACTTATATTGAATAACAAAATAATAAATTTATTTTTTCAATAAATTTAATATAATTTAAGAGATGAAATTTTGGGAATATAAGACAATTAAAAAAAAAAAAAAAAAAAAAATAAAATTTCAATCTCACATCAATGATTTTTATTCAACACAATTTTCCAATAGCAATCTCAACCACCCTGTCAAATAGTACACACGTAAAA